TCAGTAATTTTGTGCATTACAAAATGATCCCCATGATGAGTCTAGGTACCATACAAAGTTGTTACAGTATCATTGATTATACTCCTTATGTTGTACATTACATTCCCATGACTTACTCATTTTATAACTGGAAGTCTGTACCTCTTAATATCCTTCACCTATTTCACTCATTCTCCAACCCGTCCTCCCTCTGGTAACCAGCAGTTTGTTTTCTGTATCTATAAGTCTGTTTCTTTTTTATTTTGTTTGTTCATTTGTTTTGCTGCTTAGATTCCACATATTAGTGAAATTGCATAGCATTTGTCTGCCTGACTTATTTCTCTTAGCATAATGCCTTCTAGGTCCATCTGTGTTGTTGCAAAGATTTCATTCCTTTTTACAGCTGAGTAATATTCCATTATATCTATCTATCTATCTATCTATCTATCTATCTATCTATCTATCTACCTATCATCTATCCCACATCTTCTTTATCCATTCATCTATTGGTGGACACTCAGGTTGATTCTATATCTTGGCCATTGTAAATAATGCTATGATGTATAAAAGGGGTCACATATCTCTTCAAGCCGATTTTTTCATTTTATTTAGATAAATATCCAGAAATGGAATCACTGGATCATACAGTAGTTCTATTTTTAACTTTGTGAGAACTGTCCATACTGTCTTCCACAGTGGCCATACCAATTTACATTCCCACAAACATGAGGGTTTCCTTTTCCCCATATCCTTGCAAACTTGTCATTTTTTGTCTTTTTGATTATAGCCAATCTGATGTGTGTGAGGTGTGACGTAATATCGCATGCATTTCCCTGATGACTAGTGAGGCTGAGAATCTTTTCATGCCTGTTGGCTCTCTAGAGTCTTCTCTGGAAAAAAAAAATCTACTCAAATGTTCTGCCTGTTTCTTAATTGAGTTTTTTAAATACTTAAGTTGTGTGAGTTGTAGAGGTTTTTTGTGTGTGAGTTTTGGATATTAACTTATCATATACATGATTTGCAAATATCTTCTTCCATTCAGTAAGCTGACTTTTCTTTTCATTGGTTTCCTTCACTGTGCAAAAGCTTTTTCATTTCATGTAGTCCCACTTGTTTTTGTTGCCCTTGCCTGAGGAGACTGTTCCAAAACAATATTGCTAAGACCAAAATCAAAGAGCCCGCTGCCTATGTTTTCTTCCAGGAGTTTTGTGGTTTCAGTTCTTACATTCAAGTCTTTAATCCATTTGAATTTATTTTTGCAAATGGTGTAAGTTGATGGTCCAGTTTCTTTCTTTTGCAGGTAGCTGTCCAATTTTCCCCACACCATTTACGAAAGAGACTATTTTTTTCCACATCATATATTTTTGCCTCCTTCATTACAGATTAATGAACCATCTATGTGTGGGTTCATTTCTGGGCTCTATTCCATTTGATTGATCTGTGCGTCTGTTTTTATGCCAGTACCATACTGTTTTAATTACTATAGGTTTGTAGTACAGTTTTAAATCAGGGAGTGTGATCCTCTAGCTTTGTTCTTCTTTCTCGAGATCACTTTGGCTATTTGGGGGCTTTTGTGTTTCCACAGAAATTTTAGGATTATTTGTTCTAGCCCATGAAAAATGTAAATGGCCCAAGTTTTTAGCAGGAGGAAAATCTTTGAGGTATCTTTCCTTCTCTTGATTGATGAAACAATCTAGTTTCCAGTGCTAATAAATATATGAAAATAAATTTCCTCCTGAACCTCTCCAAAAGTTAAGATTCTAAAATCAGAATAACCTTGCCAAGCAATTCTGGCCAGTCTTACCTGACTTGGGCAAATGTCAGGAAAGATGTAATTACATCTACCAATTACCACTCCCACTTACTTAATACCTGAAACTGGTTTTCATTTGGAGCTAGAACACTTAATGCCCCATGTGGTTTCCCATAAATCTGCTAGCCTTTGGCTCTTCCTTTCCAGTTAAGAGGCAATCTGATAGCCTAAGGTAAGGGCTTGTTTTGAGAAGTTCATCATAAGAAAATTATATGGGCAATTCGTTACTATCTGTAATTATACTGTGAATAATTGAATCCATCTAATATGCACATTTTTCTTACGTGGCCCCTGCACAGTTGGCTAGGCAATACACTGCACAACTCCAGGAGGTAAACTACAATGTGAACAGTACCCCCTGAAGTTGTGCAAGGAGCAATTTACACAACTGTACAGTGGAACACTGGTTCTTGACTCTTTCTGATGCTCAAGAAAGAGAAAGTTTTTATGTGACCTGATGTGAATAATAATAATATAATATAAGGTCACTTCATATTAAAGTGGACCCTTTACACCTTTTTTTTTTTTTTTTTGAAGTTTGGTGACTGAAGTGATTAACACTTCTTAAGCACTTCCTGTGGGCTAGCACTCATCTATGTGCTTTCAACCTATTAGTTCATTTAATCTTCACAACAAACCTATAAGGTAACTAGAATTATCCCTATTTTACAGATGAGGAAATTGAAAGATTGAGTAATATTCCCAAGTTACACAACTGGTAAATGGTGAGACTAGGATTTTAATTCAGGGATTCAAGATCTGGTGTCCAATTTCATATTACTACACTTAACTGTATTTATATTAAGCATTTGAGAATATCCAATTTGTTGAGAATATCTAGTATATGTTTTTCTTAGCATTTCTATCATGATACACGGCTTAACTTTCTAAATTAATTGAGTTTACTCTTTTAATCAGTTATTGAAAATTGAATTGTTCAAAATTAAATAGTAATTTCTAAATGTTAAATATATACCATTTTTGTTCAATTAAGAAATTGTCCTGATACATACAAAGTTTATTAGTATGTTTTGGTAGTTTTAAATTTTAATTTTAAACAGTGTGTGTCTGTATATATATATATATATGTGTGTATATATATATATATATATATATATATATATATATACACACACACACATATATATATATGTATATGTATCTAGAGAGACTACATACCCATATATATGCTATGAGATATCATAAGGGACAAATCACTCATTTTTTATTTACAGGAAATTTATTAATCAAACATGTATTGAATGACCTCTATGATTAAACTCATTAATAATCATTGTATATTGTATCTAACCAATTACAAGAATAATATCATCAGCCTATATATTGTTTTCCAAACATAATTAATCAATTTAAAAATCCATGTTTAAAACTTACAATAATTTCTTTGAATCACTTAATTCACTTTACAAATTTCCCAGAAGGGAGTGGATGTGATCCACTCTTATCCCATTCTAGAGGTGAAAGAGAGCTACCCTAGGTCAGCTAGCACTAACTCCCTGGATCCAATGCGCAGTCTAACAGTCTATCCCTCCCCACACTAAAGTTTGACGTAACTCTAAACAAATTCTTGGCCACTCAGTAAATAACAGTTGTTATTATAAATGCCTTTTTAAAAACTAGTCACCCATATTCTCAAAACATATTTATTGTGTACCTATTATATTCAATAGTAACCTTAATGATATAATTATATACATTTAATTAACAAATAGGGTATATGGGTATTAAATTACTTTATTCCGTATGCTATTTTATTAATTTAATAATCTGATTTTCTTTCAGCAAAGTATTTCTAGTTTTTATCTATTCCAAAGTATTTAGGCCATATTAATGCTTTAAAAATCATATAACTAAAATTATCAGGGTGCCTGGGTGTCTCAGTCAGTTAAGTGTCCGACTCTTGATTTCTGCCCAGGTCAGGATCTCACCATTGTGGGATAGAGCTAGAACCTGCTTAGGATTCTTTCTCTCCCTCTCGCTCTGCCCCTTCCCCCCTCGCACACAATCATGTACACAGTCTTTCTCTCTCTCAAAATGAAATAATAAAATAAAAAAGAATAAAATAAAATAAAATACAATCATCAAAATAACCAGGAAACCAGAGGAAGGAAAAGAAAAAGTATAGGAATTCTCAAGGTAAGTAGTGCTTTCTCCACATTTGCCTTTCCAATCAAAGCCACCAAAAAAGACAACTTAGTTGATTTATATTGTCAGAAAACTACTGAAATATTTATTAAATACTCAAAATAGTTATATTGAAGCAACTAAAACAACTAAGTAACTAATATGCATATTAATTATCTGAAATAAAGCACTATTCTAAGTAATATAAGGCTATGATTATATTTCTAAATATTTAAGAAACATTACAATATTCAGAAGTGGTTTTTACTAACTACCTCATATTCCTAAAAGCACAAATACTATCAGATTTCACAAAATTCCCTAAAATTAGAGAACATTCTTGGTGGCCTGACTTTCAATAAGAGAATGAGAAAGAGTGAAGGTTTGAGTGAATAACTTCTAAAGGCTCTGATTCAGTGAAAAGATTGAACAAATAAGAAACAACTGTCTGAAATGTTCATTTTCCATTGTTTTTAGTTTGTACTTCCTTTGCTTCCCAGGAAAACAGAAATTATGCCTTAATGTCTATTAGAAGAATCATTCTCTATGAGGCTAGTGCAAACATGATTCATATTTTCTGGATGACTCTTTCCAGTTTTCCTGTAAAGGGAAGTGTGCCTGGCCCAACCCTCCCCTCACATGTGGCTGAGTCGTCTTAATGAGCTGAGAAATTAGGGCAATTATGACAGTAATTGGGTCCTCTCTCCCAAGTAACTAATGATAGTGTTTCAGAAAAAGAAGCAAAACTGTAAAATCATTTTGAGGCCTATTATAACCATATGTAACAGTCCCTTTTCACAACAATTTGCATACCCTTTCAAATAAGGATTTCAGTGAAATTTTTAGAATGGAAGCATCCTGGCATCCTATGTCTGATATGGTTACTTCTTTGGTTCAGAGTTCAACCTGCCTCTTTATTATAACTTTCCAAAATCAACAATACAATAAATCTACATTGTTTCAGGAGTAACCTCAGCCTCTACCGGGAAGAAATCTAAATTGACTATCCTATAACTTTCTTTCCACCACCAGTTTTTCTATTTATTTATGCCAAGTTTGGTTAAAATCTAGTGTAGTGATGATCTACACACTTCGGAGTCAGGCTGCAGAGGCTCACATCCTGACTCTGCCAGGGCTGTTGGGGGAGGTGAGTACGCATTGTCTCCTGTCTCCATTTCTTCATCCATAAGATAGACTAAGAATAGTGTCTCCATCAGATGGCTACTCTAAGAATTAAGTGAGATGATAAAGATCTATAAATAGCAACTGACACAAAATCCATAATAAACCTTAACTACTAATATTACTCTAGTTCTTTTTCTTCTTACTTATTTTCCACAATATTTTCCCTACCAGATTCTTTTCACATAAGATAATCAGCGGGTCAGCAAATACTTGTTAAATATCTGCTGAGGGAAAGGTATTATAACAATTGTGAGAAAAAAATAAACATAGGAGCATTGGAAAGTTTACAATTCTCTTGGCTTAACATCATAATGCACCCAAAACAATAAGAAATAGGAAATCATGGCAAATCCTTATGGATTAAACTGCATGGTACAAAATACGTGTTGAAAAAACTCAGAAACAAGACATCAGTAAGGACAGTTTCATGGAGATTGTTGGAACTTGAATTGATCTTAAAGGATTAGTAATATTAAACTGGGTAAAGGGGAGATGTCACTTTACACCAGTGAGAATAGTTAAAATTAAAGTGACAAGAAATAAAAAGTTTTGGCAAGGATGTGGGGAACAAGACCTTTGTACACTATTGTTGGGAATTGAAATTGGTACAGCCTCTATGGAAAACAGTATGGAGGTTCCTCAAAAAATTAAAAATAGAATTATCATGTGATCCAATAACTCCACTATTAGGTATTTACCAAAAGAAAACAAAAACACTAAGTCACAAAGATATATGCATCCCTATGTTTATTTCCACATCATTTCTAACAGCCGTAATATGGAAGCAACCTAAGTGTCCATCAATAGACGAATGGAGAAGGAAGATGTAGTGGAATACCATGCAGCCATAAAAACACGAGATCATGTCATCTGAGACAACATGGATGGACCTAGAGAGTATTATGTTCAGTGAAACAAGTCAGACTGAGAAAGCCCAATACCATATGATTCCACTCATAAGCAGAATCAAAAAGAGAAAAGAATAAACAAAAAAAAAGCAGAATCGGAGCTGTCAATACAGAGAACAAACTGATAATTGCCAGAGAGGAGAGTGGTGGGGGTTGAGCAAAATGAATGAAGGGAAGTGGGAGATACAGGCTTCCAGGTATGGAATGAATAAGTCACAGGAATAAAAGGCACAGCATAAGGAATAGTCAGTGATGTTGTAAAAGCAATGTTAACAGTACAGATGGTAGCTACACTTGCGGTGAACACAGCATAATGTATAAACTTGTCAAATCGCTAAGTCGCACACCTGAAACTAATATAACATTGCACATCAACTATACTCGCATTTTTAAAAAATGCATTCCAGGTAGAAAATAAGATAGAACAAAACACAAATGAGGTTTTCATATGTTCTTGAAAATGTAAAGACCCTAGCCTGCCTGATGTCATTCTCTCCTCATCTGATTTTTTCATATCAGTACAAAAATTAAGTTCAACATTTAAGTTGAAGTAACAGGGCAGAGATAAGCAAATCTGTGTCCCACAGTAAAGAGTCCTTGTGATGGGAATAGCGTATCCCCATCTTTTACAAAGTATATCCCCGTCTTTTGTATCCCCATCCACTCTCTAAACCTTACTAGTTCTAGCCCATCCTCTCCACCCATGTACAACTGAGAAAATGCCTTACCCTGTAAGTGCAGCCAGCTAATAGTTTATCACAATGATGCTTGCCACTGTTTGCCAAAGCAGTATCTCCCCCAGTTCCTGGAAAGTACAGAACAGCCAGGTAAGCAATGTCAGGTTGCTACAACTGGCTGTTTGTCAGAGTTCTGCACAGTTCCATAGGTTCTTCTGTATTTCCTTAAAATTGTGTAGTCAGATTAAAAAACTGGAAGAACTTGTTTCTATCTCGGGTATTTTCTTTTTCCTGGGAGCACTTTACCCTTTAAATACTGCTTCCCCAAATCTACTTCTTTTGAAACAAAAACAGATCACAACATGAATAAGATTATCTTATGCAATTACTTATTTGAAGAATTCACATTTAATTTGACTTTATTTAAATGTCTACAGGTGCTCCTATTGGTTCACGGAGAATTGCGAATAGAGGTAAAGTATGAAAAAGTTTTTTGTAGTTAAAATAAAATAATAGTTTAGTTTAAAAAATGAAAGTTGTACTTGAGAAAAATAAGTATTTATTTACTTTTTAAAACTGTTAAATAATTTAATTGTGAAAATAAAATTGAAACTAACCCAATTTTAAATACCAACAAGGTATAAATGTCATTATTGTAGTTTTATCTCATGCATGCTTTCTTATTTTAAACAAACCAACAGAGTTTTATTAAACAAGTCCTAGGTGCCCAGAGCAGTGAGATATTATGGAATATTTAAAGGAAAGATAAAAAATGATTAAATGTTAATATCAAAAATCATATGGTTCTGTAATTGTTTTAGTTATTAAATGTTTCTTCTTTGCTTGACAAAATGTGAGGTCAGGCAAATTAGACATTTGACAGTCCAAGATACCATGAAACATAGGGGACTCCTCAACTTAGGTGTTAATAATTAATACTCAAAGCAAAACTTTCCAACAATGTGCATAATAAAATGGTATGCCTTTTCATGTAAGACAAAAGGTCAACATGAAGAAGATGAGACTGCGTTACAAGGCAAAAGGAGATATAAACGTGAATGGGTGAAATTTGCCAAACCCTGCAGAGAAAGAGAAGACAACTCGAAAAGAAACCCAATTGCCAAAGTAAGTCATATCAGCAGGGGGCGAAGTGAGTTTTTAGAATACATGTAATAGATATAAATTAAAATGAGATGGCAACCGCATTTATCAAAATGCAGATTGAGGAGTCTACAGAAAAAATAACCTGGTATCTTCAGCCAAAAAAATACAATAACAATAATATAGAGAAAGTTGAAGGAAGTATGGCTTCTAGAGTAATAAAAAATAACTAAGAAACATGTGGACCAATTTCAGTGAATAAGCCTTATTTAGATCTGGACTGTATCAAATGGCAAAAGAATATATGGATAAGACAATGAGAAAAATTCTTGGGAGTTCATGTATTCATAATTACCAAAACTGGGTGATGAGAAGTATCAGGTTCGTTATATATTTGAAACTTTCCATTTTAAAAAGATTAAAAATTATAATAAAAAATAATAATAGTAAGCAATTTAATACCTATTTTTAACACTGTATAATCCCTTTCCTCTTTTTCTATCCAGCTCCTCCTATTTAAACTAAAATAAATGTCTTTGTTTTAATATTATCTATTAAGAAAGGGAACATTCAGAAGTAGTCTTGTCAATATTAAGTATCCATGACTTCCAGCCTTTTAACATCGCCCTGGTGGCCACAGCCTGAACAAACATTGTAAAGCCAAAATGATTAACATATATTGGTCCGTGCTGGTCAACAGAAGCAACAATTTGAATTATTTCACATTTCCAGTATTTATCAAGGCAAAAAGTAACCATCGCAGTGTCAGAAAGAGTGAATAAAATAAACAGATGACTTTAGACTATGATGGTGGAGAAAAGGGGAAGGCAAAGGTCTGGTGAATGATCACATTAACATTTTTGGGTATTTTGGGCTACAGATTACTTCAGATTTCCAAGCAACCCAGAAAATAACCTACCGAATTTCTGGAATGGGAATTGATCAACCCCCTTTTGGAATCTTTGTTGTTGACAAAAACACTGGAGAAATTAACATAACGGCCATAGTTGATCGCGAGGAAACTCCAAGCTTCCAGGTAAGTTTGTGTCCTCAATATTAGGCACCCTCACATTTGTGCCTGGTGGCTTTAGAATGTAATACTCTTCTACTGGTTAATTTAGAAGAGAGATCAGCACATGAATCAATTCACCAACAAATAACAATGTTAGGCCCTCTATGAAGAGCCTCCATTTATGGTTGTGCCCCTGAAGGAATATGCCAGGAGGGTGCGTGAGTAGGCACTGAAATCCAACATGCATCCTGCAAAGTAGTTCACCTTGCCATGGGACAGGACCAGAGTGGAAGAAGGGGCAGCTTGCCTAACTGGCCTGCCCAAGGTGGCCACCTTTTCTTACTTTGTCTACTTGTTGGGGAAATATTTTTCTTCTTTGCACAAAAGGTCTGTACATGCCAGTAGAGGCCTTATTTCTACAAGTTTTAATAGTATGCAAACTGAGTTTGTAGAGTAATGAGTCACTTTTCCCTCCTTTTTCTAGATCACCTGTCACGCTCTGAATGCCCTAGGACAAGACGTAGAGAAACCACTTATATTAACAGTTAAAATTTTAGATGTCAATGACAATCCTCCAGTATTTTCACAAAGTACATTCATGGGTGAAATTGAAGAAAACAGTGCTTCAAGTAAGTCTTTTTATAATATATACCACTTCTAATCTTTTTTATTTTAAAAAACAAGGATCACTATAGTATATCACTTTTAGAAGCTAATTTATTGTCTTAGTTTCACCAGTAGTTGTGCAGAAAAATTCATCAAAATAACCTGGGTCTTCCTTTGTAATATTTTGCACTTTATCTACTGCCATTGTATTTCTAGGTTGTAGTCCTGTTATCAAGTCAATAGTATCTTATTCTATATATTTAAGTCACATGAGTACTTGGCAGTAGTCATAAAGCTAAAAGGGTGGTTTTCGGTAGCCTGGCTGCATCACCTGGACTTTTTTAGATTATAAAGGACAGAGACACACAATTACTTGGATAATTTGAGAAAAGGAAAGAATGATAATGCCATCCATGAAGGGAAGAAATAAAGACAGAAAATAGTCTCAACTCCAACACAGCCAAGGCGTAAGGCCAATGAGAGGATTTTTACAGAAGGCAGCACAGTTCTACCTGATTGAGACAGTAAGAGATCTCGAAAAAGACATGTAATTCGTTTTTGAGTATATCAATAGACAAGATTTTTAAAAACAAAGGTCAATTTGAAATGATGTTGAATATTTAATGTGAACAGAATGTCAGTCTTTAAATATGCTTTAGTGAACTACTTCTGTATTCCTAGACTCGCTGGTGATGGTACTAAATGCCACAGACGCAGATGAGCCAAACCACCTGAACTCTAAAATTGCCTTCAAAATTGTCTCTCAGGAACCTGCAGGCACACCCATGTTCCTCCTAAGCAGACACACTGGCGAAGTCCGTACTTTAACCAATTCTCTTGATCGAGAGGTAAAGCAAGGCACTTGGGATTATTCAATAATAAAGGATTTGATTGTAAGAAAGCCAAGAGAGGTGACCCCATTTTATCTAAGGAGAAAGAAAAAGAAGTTCTCCATACTCAACTAGGCAATCTAGGGAAACTGTTTGCATTCCAGCGTGATTCTAGCAGGGTGAGATGTGTTCCTAAGACCTGTAGAATCAATTGCACCCTAAATAAACAAGTATCAGCATTCCAGTGAGAGGTGAAGTGGAGAGTAAAAGAAGGCATCAAAGCATCCAGGGACAAAAACTGAACTGTGACTTATTCCTTATATGGTGCAGGAAAATGAAATTTCTCAGATGAAGGAAGAAATTTCTTTCTGGTATAAAGCTTTCTCTGATGTTACACTTTTACTACTGAACAGTTTTAATTTTGCCCCCGCTTCCAGAACACTAAGGAATCCCCTTCTTCTCTTCCCCATCGTCATAGCACCATAACTACCATCACCACCACCACCACCACCATATTTATCACCACACAATACCCTGTCAGACTTTCTATTACTTTTATGCAAATGATTCTCTGAATAGACCATTAGGAAAGCTCTATAAGTGAACTTCCCTCAAATAAGCATCCCACCATCTTCAATGCCCAATCTTGCTCCAACTGTGTACTTTCTTGCCCTAAGAAGCTCACAAAAATGAAAACCTGTTTTAGCCCCATAAAAATTTACCCAACCATCCAGAGCCCCACATGCCTCCTCTATGATGGACAATGAACAGCTCATGTGATCCTTCTCGAGAATAAACTATGAACTTGAATATTTTCACCCCCATAGGAAGCAGGTAGGTGTTATTTGTATTCTTGGTGCTGGAGATTAATTATGTTTTTTTTATTTTTCTCCAAATTTAGCAAGTTAGCAGCTATCATCTTGTTGTGAGTGGTGCAGACAAAGACGGAGAAGGACTTTCAACTCAATGTGAATGTAGTATTAAAGTAAAAGATGTCAATGATAATTTCCCAATGTTCAGAGAATCTCAGGTACACCTTGCCTCTTGAAGAATAATTTATGATTTTTTCTTAATTTTATACTACAATACTACCAACCCATTGTATTTATACAATATATTGCCATTCTAATTCAGTATTTGCCTGCTTGCTGGCTTCTATTTACGTTGTCTGCATTTTTCTTAAAAAAGAAGCTTTTGTAAAATATAAGAATTTAGTAACAAGCAAGGGGCAATACATAATTTCAGAATTAATGATATATGCTATTCAGAATAAATATACTCTCTTTAGATAAAAGCTGACAATAACTCAAAATTCTGCTTCTCTCCTTTTTAGTATTCAGTACAGATTGAGGAAAATACTTTAAGTTCTGAGTTGATTAGATTTCAAGTTACAGATTGGGATGAAGAATTCACAGATAATTGGCTTGCAGTGTATTTCTTTACCTCTGGAAATGAAGGGAATTGGTTTGAAATACAAACTGATCCCAGAACCAATGAAGGTATCCTGAAGGTGGTTAAGGTAAGTTCTATTTCTCTTCAGTGGTAAAACTATTCCATATTAGCCCAAACTCTATCAGTTCTACAAATAAACTTTATTCACTTATTAATAATAAACCTCTTCTTTACAGAAAACGAAGAAAACACATAAAAGTAGATAGAATTTTTTAAAGACACAAACATAGCCCCAATACCTAAGGAAAGCTTTCTTTTTACTGTATTTTTTAAGTTTATTTATTTTGAGAGAGAAAAAGAGAGAGAGAGAATGGAAAAGGGAGGAGAGAGAGAGAGAGACAGAGAGAGAGAGATAGGAGAAGGAGGAGAGAGAGAGAATCCCAAGTAGGCTCCATGCTGTCAGTGCAGAGCCGACATGGGGCTTGAACTCACAAACCATGAGATTATGACCTGAGCCGAAACCAAGAGTCAGAAGCTTAACCAACTGAGTCACCCAGGTGCCTCAGGACAGCTTTTTTTAAACATGTTGATTTATTTCTTTCCAAGCTATCATAGTTTCTATAGTAAGCACACACTAATATACATATATTCATAGGTGTGCCTGCTTTAAGCACCAGAATGTAAAACACATTTATTGACTTAATCCATTTACTCTCTACAATTAAAGTTAGGAAAAGATAAGAATACATGGTATTGTGGCTTGTGAATTTATCAATTTGTGTTAAGTGGATTAGTTACAGTCATAAGAGGGGGAAAATAACAACTTTTTGGAAAATGGGACTGTATAATTAAATCTGCAAGATAAAAAATAATAATGGAGTAAACCTTCCATTTAACATGCTTAGCTATAACAGACACTCCCCCTGCCCCACACACAGAATCCAATCTGGAATAACGTAAGCGTAAGGGTATTTCTGCCTGGACACTATATAGACTAGAAAAAATAACCACTATTTGAAGACCTTCTTTGGCACAGGACACCAGACTATCTGGGACCTTCCTTCTTTCTTTATTTCCTTGAGTCCAGTAGAGTGTCAGACCCATAATATGCCCTTAACAAGGGCATAACATTGCGGGAATGCCTGATTTCTGGAAGCTGTGGAAGCAGCTCCTATTACTCTGCTTTTCAGAGAGAGGGCTGAGGCCATCCTCACTTGCAAGGGTGTATTATAAACCCCCAGCAATCCCTTAAATGAGGTAGTCTCTCTCCTGTATCAGTGTCGTCTAGTTTCCACACTAGAAACCTGGGCCATATCTTTCCTCACAACAAACAGCCAGTCCTCCAATTCTGCCCTGGAAATTGTCCTTAAAGTCTGGCCCTGGTCTTCCTTCTGCTGGCCTGTGCTCTACCTGGCCTTGCCTCCTTACCCCTAGATGTCTATAATCCCTCCTGATTGATGTCCTTTATGCCTCCTTCATCCTCCTCCTGCCACCGGTCTACTAACATGCTTTTCTTAAAACCAATTTGGATCATTCTGTTCTTTAAAATAGTTCCTTGTTCTCCATTGGCTGTGAAAGTGGTCCTCAATTCTTTTTTTTTTTTTTAAGTTTATTTATTTTGAGAGAGAGAGCGAGTGAACATGCTGTGCATGAGTGAGAGAGGCGCAGAGAGAGACAGGGAGAGAGAGAATCCCAACCAGGCTCTGCATTCAGTGCAGAGCCCAATGTGGGGCTTAACCCCACAACTGTGAGATCATGATCTATACTGAAATCAAGAGTCAGTCGCTTGGGGCGCCTGGGTGGCGCAGTCGGTTAAGCGTCCGACTTCAGCCAGGTCACGATCTCGCGGTCCGTGAGTTCGAGCCCCGCGTCAGGCTCTGGGCTGATGGCTCAGAGCCTGGAGCCTGTTTCCGATTCTGTGTCTCCCTCTCTCTCTGCCCCTCCCCCGTCCATGCTCTGTCTCTCTCTATCCCAAAAATAAATAAACGTTGAAAAAAAAAATTAAAAAAAAAAAAAAAAGAGTCAGTCGCTTAACCAACTGAGCCACCCAGGTGCCCCAACCCTCAACTCTTATTGCTCACTTGAATCACCTGCAACTCTTCTTCAGCCATGGCAATGTAGGAACTATGGGTTCCGTTAGTCTGTGGGGAAGCCCAGGCAAAGGAGGGTCTTAAACACTCCTCAGAGAACTCTAATCGCAGCCGGGATTGATGACCAGCTGCTGGCCTTCAAGATGACCTTCAGCCTCCTCAGAGTTGTATATAAGGCCTCTCACCACCTGCAGCCAGCTCCCTGTCACTTTCTGTAACTCTGGGCATTTGAAAACGCTTCACCTCTGCCTGAAAAAATCCTCCTCATCCTTCAGCACTCAGCTCACTTGAAACATCTCAGGATTCCTAACTGTCCCAAGTAGAAGTATTCACTCACTTTTGCGCATAGATTCTATAATTTCTCTTGTTATTTTCCCCCTTGTATTATAATTACCTGTTTATACATTCTCCTCCACTCCCTTGGGGAATGCTTGAGCTCACAAAACTACTCATTACAGACTTAAAACTCAAATCCAGAACTCTGCCCTTAATTATTTTCAGTAATATACAAATGTATCCCCAATGAACATTTCCTTATCTCATCACACTCAAAAAAATGTATCAGTGAATGGAAGAAGCTTTCCTGGGATTCCTCAGTCCTCGATTTGGGCCACATCAATAAGACGGTCAAACAAATAGTTATCATGCAAGACCATCTGAAAATGGTTCTACAAAGAGTTGGTGGGCCACCCACCCACTGCTTTTCAGATGCATATTGGCCAACCAAGTTTATTATGATGGTCCGCCTTTGCCACCTAGGAATTTTTAAATCAGGAAAGACGCTATTGCACACGAATCCAGTAGCTATTCTCTGAATGGCTATAACTGCCATTTTTAGGAATGCGTTTGGGGACAAAATTTGTGAAGTCCTCACAACAATCTGATGAGGTAAGATTTGGGGGTTTTTTCAGAAGTGACAATTTGAGAATCAGAGAAATTAAATATTCTGCTATGAGTCACACAGCTATTAGGCCACAGAACCAGGATTCAAACCATGCTACTATAGCAAATTTGGGATTCTTTCCATCGCACCACAGAGCCTAAAGGAGCTATAATGATGTTTTAGTAGTCTACAAAGAGGTACCCTGTTTTGTATCAGTTAAGAAGCTGAAGTCTTATAAGTTAAAAATTTTAATGATTTCTCTATCTCAACATTACAATGATTTCTGAAATTGTCTTGCTATGGAGAAATAAAAACAGCCACTCATAGCATGTAACATAAAGTTCTCTTTTCCTCTTCTGGTTTCGCCAGATTGTATTTCTGTGATACATCTTCCCTTCTATTTTTTACTCCAGGCTCTAGATTATGAGCAACTACAAAATGTGCAACTTGGTATTGCTGTCAAAAACAAAGCTGAATTTCACCAATCGGTAATCTCTCAGTATCGAGTCCAGTCAACCCCAGTCATGATTAAAGTGGTGAATGTGAAAGAAGGAATTACGTTCCATCCCGCTTCCAAGACATTTACTGTGCAGAAAGGCATAAGTACTAACAAATTGGTCAATTATGTCCTGGGAACATATCAAGCCATGGATGAAGACACCAGAAAAGCTGCCTCATACGTCAAGTAAGATTGTTTTTACATTAGTCCTTGATGTCGTTTTCATTTACAAGCTACTACAAAATAACACCCCAACATTATATGCCAAGAATACAGAGATACAAAGTGCCAACTCAAACAACTGCATAACTCAAGAAGAGACATGTTGCCAAATCACGGAACATACTATGCTAGGAGTAAAGATAACATGAGCGTAAGTTAAAGTGGAAACTGAGAGAATGTCTTAGCCTGTCGAGAGAAATCGGGAAAAAATTTCACAGAAACTTTCAGTTGAGTCTTTAAAAAGAGTAGAAGTTCACCAGAAGACCTTGGTACACAGCACCTACAAAACATACATGACCCAATATAAGAACACCATGCAGAGTAGTTAGTGTAAGAGCAAGGACACAATTATTTTATTGCACAGGGTAGAAAACTGAAAAACCAGGCTAATACTTAAGGATTATGAAATACTGCTTGTCCATGCTAATATGCTGATTTTCTGCTGCCATTTCTAAAAGTATCTTTCAATGTCTTAAATTAAATATAAATATATTAAATATAAAATGAGTCATTTTCATTAAATAGGTAAACATTCCATACTTGAAAGAAAACTATTATCTTTTCTATCATAAAACAGGTACATCATGGGACGTAATGATGGTGGTTTGCTATTCATTGATCCAAAAACTGCTCAAATCAAATTTGTCAAAAACATCGATCGGGATTCTACTTTCATAGTTAACAAGACAATCACAGCTGAGGTTCTGGCCATAGATGGTAAGAATAATATTTCAAAATGGGGCATCTGGCTCCATAGAGCATGTGATTCTTGACCTTGGGATTGTGAGTTCGAACCCCACATTGGGTGTCGAGATTACTTAAAAAATAAAAATTAAAAAATATATATTTCAATCACTTTTAGAGAAATGTTACTCCAATTGGCATTTCTTTATGAATAGATGATTATGATTACTTAACATATTAGCTCACCACTAAATACAGTTAATTATCTTCGGGGCCTTGGGTCTCAAATCTGAGGCAGTTGAACCCAAAAAACTGAGCATTCCACCTTCTCAATAGAGTTTGTAGTACCAGTGAATTCTGTGTTCAGTCCCTGTGGTTTGCTGTGTTGAGGCAGAATCTTTAGGCCTCCAGGAATTTCTGGTTTTTAGAGGATGGATAAAGACTGATACATAATGCCTGTCAGGAAAGCTCAGCTTGAATGTGAGATGCCTTTTTGAGTTACTTATAAAGGAAGCTACTGACAGAGACCTCATGTGACTATAGCACTGAACAATAAAATCTTCTGGGATGTCTTAAAAATAGTATTCATTGAGTGTTTGTCTTCCATCAAGTATAAAGAAATTGATGCCCAGGCAATAAGCAAACACAGGAAAATAAAACAAGAATAAACACCAAAAATCATATCACCTGGAAAAACAGCAAAAAGCTACACAGGAAACAACAGAAATTATTCATATAATCCCACCACTGGGAAATTTGAGATTGTCAACATTGAAAGTTTTTTCTTCAATTAACTTCTATATCTTGGATGATAAAAATAAATCATTGTTTATTTCAAATACTTTGGCTCAAGGTTTAGAAGCAAAAATCTTTCACCTAGTGCCAGGTCCATGCACTGGCATGGAGAAATTGAAGAAAACTATTGTTTTTATGTTGATTTTATTGGTAATCAGTGAATGCATCACCTCAGAGGTCTTGGTTTCAAGCATGTTAACTTAATAGCCAATGCTACCAATTACAGTCACCAGCTAAGTTGACAAATTTAAATTTGCTTTTTACAAGATGTGGAAATTAAATGACATCTGTTTACTTGTAAGAATAACAAACATAATTTCTCATGAGAGGACATACTAAGGTGGCTGCATGCAAGAGACATTTGAAAGGTTTTCTCGGGGCTCCTGGGTCACTCGGTTAAGCATCCGACTTTGGCTCAGGTCATGATCTCACGGTTCATGAGTTTAAGTCCCGCATCAGGTTCTGTGCTGATGGCTCAGAGCCTGAACCCTGCTTTCGGATTCTGTGTCTCCCTCTCTCTCTCTGCCCTTCCCCACTTGCACTCTGTCTGTCTCTCTCTCTCTCTTCAAAAATAAATAAACATTAAAAAAAAGTAAAAGATTTTCTTGGGTACATCTTATTCTGTATATTTCTTTAACTCTAAAATGTTATTCTTACAGAAAACACAGGTAAAACTTCTACAGGCACCGTATATGTTGAAGTACCCAGTTTTAATGAAAACTGTCCAACAATCGTCCTTGAAAAGACAACAATTTGTAGTTCACGGCCTTCTGTGGTTGTCTCAGCTAGAGCACTAGACAATAAATATACTGGCCCCTACACATTCTCCCTGGAGGAGCAGCCTCTAAAATTGCCAGTTGTATGGAGTATCACAACACTCAATGGTGAGTAATGGGAAACTTGCTTCCATAAATGAAAGTTGCTGCTGCTTTCTATTTCCAGATGGATAAAAGAGCTCATTTGGGAGCAAGTCTTTTCCAAGAATAATTGAAAAAATTATTTGCAATGAAGATGTGGTCCTAGTCTCATGAATTTCTTCTCTCTTCAGAAGAGAAAAGGAATGATACGATACAATGTTAGCGCCATTTATCATTTTCTGTTTTTCGGGTGCAGTCTGTTTTACATTTTCATGCTTTTCATGTTTTATTTCTACCTCCACAGCACACCATAAAAAGAAGAGAGTCGGGCATCTATTTTATTGCAGAGCTGTTTAAATTTCTAAATATATAAACTTTTCCTAACAGGGCAGATTGTGAACAGTCATGAAGCACTAGACGAGTTGCCTGTTGAAGGCTCATTGGCGGTGCTACTTAGTCTGTCACTGGTCAGGAATTTTGAGAGCATGGTGGACTGAAATTCCCATTAGCCCATTAGCCAGTGAGAAAGAGTTAATCCATCCTTCCGTTTCTCCTAACTTTTATCATGCTAAACTTACATTACCTATATTTTCTAGCAGTCTCGTAGAAATAGCCATTGGACTTATTAAGTATCTTCTCATGTTTCCCCAGCTCTTTTCTGAACCAGTCTTGCCCCCTTCGATGAATGTGCTCTATCGCGCCCTATCCATAAGTATCAGCAATTGGGATCTTGTTCTCCACGGCCTTCTTTCCGAGGGCCTTACTGATCTTGGTAGAAGTCTCGAGCTCCAAATCACGCATGTAGCATTTGGGTCCAAACGGGTTTACTGGCACATGGCACGTGGCCAATAAAAAGGCCGCACACAAAACATCAGAGATAGAGGAGAGCCAGCACTAGGCACACCTGCTTGGGTGAGGCTGCACCAGGCAACAGTGTGGACTGGGTGGCTCGGGCACAGTACCAAAGGGCAGGGTAGGATCGAGAGTGATCCAGTTGACACAACTCTGCAGCTTGCAAGAGCTGCTGCTGGAGCCCACTTAGAAAGGGACAACACAGCAATGGAGAATGGAGAGTGATCAATATTCACGAGACAGACAAGCAACAGGCCGTCACTTCAGAGAATCCCATACAACAACCAGCATTTGGGCACAGGGGGTGCAAACTATCAGGAACAGCTGGCGTAGTGGAAGCCAAAGCAGAAACTCAGTCTTAATAAGTCAGGCATAAAAACACGAACTCAGGGGGAAGGCATACGTTCCGAGGGCCACACACCAGAGTCCAGGGAGTTGGTGCAGACATACAGGAGAGTGGTTACGTCACAGGAGGGGGGGCTTCGTGTCAACACGATACCGGCCTCCCATCATCTTTCAAGGGAAATATCAGGGTAGGACTGGGTCTTCATGAGTGACAATAACAGAGGCAGAAAGAAGGACAAGGAGGAAGTGCAGCCTGCTTTACCCAACTGAACCCCTTCTCACTAATAACTGCTCAAATCTCACCTTACTATCAGTCTCACTATTTGTGACCATGATGTTTAAGGCACCCCTGGTTCTGTTAGCAAAAATAGGCAGTTTGAAGGGCAAAAGACACCTTGTCCTGCTGTTGATTTGTATGATGTTTGTCTGCAGCTACTTCCGCCCTCCTTAATGCCCAGCAGCAGGTGTCTCCTGGAACGTACACCATCTCGCTCACAGTTACCGACAGTCAGGACAGACAGTGTGAGACACCAGAGAGCCTGACTCTACAAGTCTGTCAGTGTGACAACAGGGACACCTGTGGAAATTCTAACGGGCACAAAGACCCTGAACGCATAGGTGGAGGCTCATCATGGAGGCTGGGACCTGCAGCCATCGGCCTGATCTTCCTTGGTCTTCTGCTGTTGCTATGTGAGTATGCCAAAGTTAAATTCCGTTTTGGATGCGGAATCAGTCTCTGCGGAGGCATGCTGCACAGGATGCCACCTTTGCAATGTAGAGCCATTCCTTAACTGCGTTCTAGGCAAAGATAGAGGAAAGTGGCATTTTCAGGAAGAATCTGAGATGTTTAAAGTTAGCATGTCATTTGCCAACAATCTATATTCATAATACAACAAAGCATGTCATACATGTTAGACATTTAGAAAACAGTGCAAGAGAATCAACAAGAAAAAATTAAAGCATAAACTTTCTACACACTGCCAGTAATGTTCATAATCAAAATAACGCCTTTATCCACAATGCACTACTTTCTAAAATGTCTTCTCCATATTAAAATCTCATGAGATTTTAAAATAGAAGGAGAACCCTGGCCAAATAAATCTAAGGAAAACCATAGAGAATATAGAGGTTTGAGCTCTATAATGAACATTAATACATCAGGGGCCCTGAAAAATTATTGCTTAATCCAGCACTTCCTGAAAATAGCTTACCCATATACACACCGTCTTAATGGCTTTTACTTAATAAGATTAAGTTTATTGAACACATGTGGGGAAACTACACGTTTTGTTTTTCAATAAAAGCAAAATTTCTTTTATTTAATGGACAGGTTTCTAAAAAGCTGCATTTAAATCAAAATCTTGTGAACCAAATAATATTTTGAATGTAATAGGTCTCTATGTAAAAGAACTTCATGGCAAACTCTTATATAAGAAAAACCTTTGAAAAATTCACAATCCCTTCCCAAATTTATTACAGAACCATAGGCTTTTAGAATAAAATGACTGTGCGTGATAATCAAGTCCACTCCAACCTCTTCCCTTAAACTTTTTAAAAATCTGTGAAATACTTTCAAACCACAAAGAAGTACAGAAAATTACATGACAGTCACGCACATAGCCATCATGCAGACTTAACAGATATTAATGTTTGCTGTATTTGTTCATGTCTCTTATTAAAAAAAAAATAGTAAGTTCTTATATTTACAACTGTGGTGTGACCTCCAGAGTCGTCCAACACACGTGGTATATTCTCCTTCCTCCTTCCTCAGAAGTGTTTCCTATTTTGCAGTTATCACGCACCATGTCATTTAACAGCTGAAATTGACGTACTTTTCAGTTTTTCAATATCATATTACTCGATTTCAAAACCAAATTTTCCAAGCGCATCTATGTGAGTCTTGACAAGCATCCAGCTGAAAAAGGGAAGCTGATTCTGGTTTTCACGTAGTTCACAGATGTGTGTGTGTCTCAGTCTATGGAAGAAACTATACCATGATAACAGCTATCGAAGAATTTACTACCAAGGGCTATTACTGGGGCTTCACAGAATAGGAGAATCATCAATTTGTGGCTCGAAAAATGAGTCAGGTATAAGTACAAAAAGGGGAAAGTGTTTCCAAAGGGCAACAGCACTGGGCAAAAGCCAGAAAATGCTTCTCCTGTTTTAGGACTCACATGTTGGGAGGCTAACAAATGGGGAAACTGTGGACAGTAAAGGAGCTGAACCTGGAGAATGCACTGGCACCAACTTGAAAGGGCTTACATACACCTGTTATGGTGTTTGTTCCTTAAGTTATGAGAAAAAAGAGCTGCTGAACGTGTCTGAATAAAAACCTAGCATGTTCATATTTGTGTTTTGGGAAGATAACACGGGCAGTGGTGTGTGTGCTAAGTTAGAAATGAAATTACAGTTAGGAGGTTATTGTAATACTTGCAAGGAGATGATCGAAGCCAGATTCAGAGCTGTGATATGAGACTGGAAAAGACAGGGTAAATGTGTGAGGCATTGTTATATTTACAATATAACAATTATATTTGTTATACGTGTAATGGAGATGTACACGTAATCTCCATTACGTGGAGAAGATTTGGAGACTGATGAATATGAAGAATGGATAAGAAACCCAGCTGAACCACTGAATTCAGTTGTCACTTAAATCACTCAATGAAACTGGAAATATTAGATGAGGCACAGATACATAGGGTGGCACTGATGAGCTTAATTTTGAAATGCTGACTTTAAGGGTGTGGATAAATCATAGAGGCAGGCCATTGTACATTTGGGATTGCGGCTCCAGATGGCAATCAGAGAAGACACACTGTGTTATATTCTCACAATCACATTTGCTTCCTGTGTTGCTACCATTTGAAAAAAAAGCCATGTTTTGATTTTTGCGCAGGACAGAACACACATTTTTCAGACCGTAGAAATGCACTCAACACTTTGGAAAACTTTTTCTGGATACATATATAAAAACCAGATATATGTTGCAGATACAGTGACAAGCAAGATCACTAAAAGATTATTCATGCCCACCTAAAAATGCTCAGCGTACAGATGTACCTTCATCACCTTAAAAACTAATTTGTCAACTCACGGGACTCAATCCCGCACACTAACAAAGTCATGAAATTGAGAATGGCAATTTAAAAAAGCCTGTAGTAGTATCATTTACATGAACATTATATTAGACTTTAAGAAAATACATCAATTATGCCCAACCTATTTTATTTATATACTTGGCCTTTTTTCATTTTGTATAGAGCTAATATACAAGACTGACCTAATTTGCATAACTGACGTAACCCATCCAAACAATACCAGCAAATCCTCATAGCACTCACTACCCTTTCTTATACTACTAACTTATTTGATCCTCACGATAAGCTATGATATAGATCAAATGCATTCTCCCATTCTCTGGATGAATCCATAGAAATGAGAAAAGATGATATAACGTATCTAGCTGGTGAGGGTTGGAGCCAAAATACAAACCCTGCAAGTCTGACTCCAGAGGCTGTGCTCTTAAACCCCTCACTAAACCACCTCTAAATGGATAGAATTCAAACATGAGGATTCAAGAAGACTTGACAGGCCAGACGTGAGGGTGGGGTCACTGACTACCTAGCTTTCCAGTACTTCTTTTCAAGAAAGAGTACATTTTTCTCTTGGTCCATTAGCATGAGAATGATGTTAATCTTTATTGCTCAGATGTGACAGATATGCACAGAAAGAATGAAAATTACCCTGACTGGAAGGCCCCTCCAAGCTAGAGATTCTTAAATCACAGTTAAGAATGCATTGGTATTAGCTCATCATTCTACTTGTGGAGGGAGTTTGCCGGTTAATTGCTGTTTACTAGGAGATCTGTAGAGTCCTGATTACAGGAACGTTACCCCGCCCACCTGCCCAAAATCCTGACCAATCAGGTGTGTATTCACCTGACGTAATATACATAGCTCAGCATATACAACTAAATGCAATAAAAATATATATCTACTACAGAAAAGGATTGAGGAATTGAACAACCACTTTTACCATTCATCAAACAGTCCCTGTTTTAAGAAAATACACATATCACAAGAATGATCTATCTCCTTTGGTTTCATAATTATATGAAATTTTAGGATGCTTACAGTTTATTTTGTAGAAACTAATTTTTCTTTCTATTAGATGTTCCATGAGTACTGAAAATATTGTATTTTCTTTGTAACTTTTCAGACAACTGTCACATCAAATTGTTTCCAAATGACTCAAATGTTGCAATATTTTGTTTTCCTTTATAACCAGTGGCCCCTCTTCTGCTGCTGATCTGTGACTGCGGGATGGGTTCTATGGGGGGAGTGGCAGGAGGATTTATCCCAGTTCCTGATGGTTCGGAAGGAACAATTCATCAGTGGGGAATCGAAGGAGCTCAACCTGAAGACAAGGTGAGGACCCAGTTTCTAAAACATTTCAGGGCACCTGTTTGGCTCAGTCGGTTGGTCCGACTATTGATTTTGGCTCAGGTCTTGATCTCATGGGATTAAACCCTGCTTGGAATTTTCCCTCGTCTCTCTCTCTGCCCCTCCCCTGCTCACAAATGCACTCTTTCTCTCTCTCTCTCTCAAAATAAATAAATAAACTTTAAAAAAATATTAAAACATTTATTTCAATCACATAGAGCAAACTCAGATTTATATTCAGATAGGAAAAACAGTAGCATGGTATAAAAATAAGACACTCCTCGATCTTTAAAGACCTCTGTGAGTCAATGTTGAAATAAATGGAACCTTTTAGGATCATAGCTCTTCAGATGTTACATCATAAAAATGGTTAGTCCTGCAATAATTTGGGCTTCTTGTAAAGTCATCTTTTGCAAACAGCCCATCTCACCCATATTGCCATGAAATTTGGTTCATTTTTAAATATATTTATTTTGGGGACATTTAAATATATTTATTTTGGTTTGCAGGAAATCACAAATATTCGTGTGCCGCCTATAACTGCCAATGGAGCCGATTTCATGGAAAATTCTGGTAAGTGAACAACAAATGGATATTTTTAAGGCAATATTGGATTAAATAAGAAATACTGAAAAATAATAAGTGCTCTAAATCATTTTCTTAATAATTTGCACATATGTACACATGCTGGGGAGATGTTACCAGTGAACAATGGGTTTCAATGAAAAGATTTACTATTAGTATATCAGTCAATTCCATGACCTAGCTCAGGTTTCAGTAAGTTCGTTAAAGTTCATTGTCCAGTGATGCCGCCATTTTTAATATCTGAAGATTTGTTATATATTTTCCAAACTTTGATAAACTGAAGTATAGCTCTCAGTCAATTACGATTTTTTTTTAATTAGGAAAGAGTTCACATGTAGAAAATGTAAAGGAAAATATAGCAAATACTGTGTACCTACCACTCAACTCTGACTATTCTTAACATTGGATAATATTTGCAGTTAAACCTCACATGTGCACATCTTCTATATTGTTGCCCTTCTTCCTTCCCCAGAACTAACAATACCCAGATTTGAGTTCAAGTAACAGTTTCATATTCAAGCATAATGGGACAAGATCGTTTATGTTGTGACATAGGCGAAATTATTTATTTCTTTGGCTTACCAAATGACCATTTTATTCATATTATCTCAATGCCACAACTAAGGCATACACTGGAGGAACAAGAACTAATGCCTAATATTAAAATTTTTTCTTAATTCCACACATAGCAACAGATTGTTTTTAAATATCTAGCCTGCAAAGTCTGCATGAGATCACCCAAAATGTCTGCCTTTATCAGCTACCCCAGATCCTCACCTGCTTCTCCCATTTTATTTACATAGCAAAAACTATATTCAGAATTCTCTTCTAGAGAAAATATAATTTTCCATGAAAGTGTAATGTAAAGGTAATAGAATAGTCATAACTCGTTAAATTTTCTTTAGGCTCCAAGACACTAAATTAGTGCCTGCTAATTTGCTTGATTATATTATGCATGTTTTCTCTTTAGTTTCCATACTACAGCAATATGACAGCTTAATTTCAATTTCTTTTTTTTCCTGAAAACAAATAAGCATTGCCTTAGAAGCTTTCCATGGCTATGTGCTGAATATTCTGTTTTTACTTTTTATTATTTCTGGCTCTTGTCACTGAAAACCTATTTCCTGTGTATATTTTTCAATTAGTATGCTTGCAGAGCTATTTCATCTGCTAAGGTCCTCTGTTACAGCCTCATCTCCTCTGTTACTCTCACATATCAGACCGTAGGATGTTCTTACCACCTCTAGTCATTTAATTGTAATTTCTCCCACTTATATACTTATTTGCTTTACTTGGCATCTGTTCAGGGATATCAAAAAACAATTTAAAAAATTACAGCATAAGATGCTACAGAATTTTCTCCCATTTTTAGAAGTTTGTATGAATACATATGCTGGAGGGACAGTGGTGGAAGGAGCTTCGGGAATGGAACTAACCACCAAGCTTGGAGCAGCTACAGGATCTGGGGCCGCTGCAGGATTCGGCACAGGCACCGGACTTGGCATTGGTTCTGCAGGACAGTCTGGAACGATGAGAACAAGGCATTCCACTGGAGGAACCAATAAGGACTATGGGGAAGGAGCAGTAAGCATGAATTTCCTGGACTCCTATTTTTCTCAGGTAATTGGGTCGAAAACTCTGTGGCTTTGTTATCTTTACATTAGGTGTCTTTTCACTTGACTATACTTCAGTTTTGCAATTCGTTTTTGTTGTTATTTTATTTACAGCTTGTGAAAATGTAAGAAAAAAATAGGGTTCTTTGCCAAAATAATACAGATGATGTAAGGTGGCTACCACTATGGGGCTACTAGTCAAAAGGAAAAATGGTATTTAGACACAAAGGGAGATCATATAACAAGTGGAACTTCATCCCCCCAGCTGGAATAACAATGGAAAGCAAAATCTTTTACATGTCAGGATCAGCAGCAACTTCTTTAGGAATACAAAGCAGCTTACTTTGTGTTTCCTATACCATAAAGTATGCCAGAACACACATGCATAGTTTTCTGAGACAGGGTTGTAGTATTTTTCACATTTTCAAAGGAGTCTTTGCCCCCAAAAGTTGAAGAACCATTGAATAAATGACCCAAAAATAAAAGTGGGAAAAAAGAATATGATCGAAGATCGGATGAAGCGTGAGGAAGCATAGAACTGAAAGGAACAAGGGTTCAGGAACAGAGAAGACTTTAAGAGGAAGGTCTTGCCTCTTGATTGGTGCATCATTAGAACAGATTTCACACACAGCTTCAGTATCAGAGCTGGTAAGTCCTGGGATGTGGCCTGTTGCTGAGAAGGCAGATCCTGACACAGTGACTGGCAGGGAGAGCTTGTTTGGGATGAGGACTCTTGGGATTTTCTGAGGTGTGGTGTGAGCCTTAGTTAGGGGTCAGGCTCCCACAAGGTTTGGGGAGTCTAGCATTAACAGAGGTACACACAGGAAACCCCACACTTGTCCTAGTGAATAACCTCCCGGCTTTGAACACATTCGTTTTGTAGGCCTAAATCCACGTTAGTACCTTCAAAACCAGAATTAAAACACGAGCCTAGGCCAGATTCAATTTTGAAAGAATGTCAACTATACCGTTCTCCAAACACCAATTTCTGTAACAAGACTGTCGATATACAAAGCGTGCCTTTACTTCTATGGATTACCTAAATCACACATTCATGATCAAACCTTGAGTTCTGCGAACTGTACTGTATTCTTCAATTGACATGCTTTTAAAATTCATTTTTTCCACTCTTCTCCACCTTTAGAAAGCATTTGCCTGTGCAGAAGAAGACGACACCCAGGAAGCAAATGACTGCTTGCTGATCTATGATAATGAAGGAATGGGTGCCCCCAGTTCTCCCGTGGGCTCTGTGGGTTGTTGCAGTTTTATTGCCGATGAGCTGGATGACAGCTTCTTGGACTCGCTTGGCCCCAAATTTAAAAAGCTTGCTGAGATTAGCCTCGGGATTGATGATGAAGCCAAACAATCTCAGCCACCTACCCAAGAAGGCCATTCTAGGATTGAACCCTGTGGCTATTCCGTAGACATCCAACAGTCAGAATCCGTTAGGGGCCAGCCTGTGCCAGGCAGTCAAGGAGCTTCCGCTTTGCCTGCTTCCGTCTCTGTTCTCCAGCCAGCCATTGCCATGCCTGACCCTTTGCAGCCTGGTAGCTATTTGGTAACAGAGACTTACTCGGCCTCTGGTTCTCTCGTGCAACCTTCCACTACAGTCTTTGAGCCGTGTCTCACACAAAATGTGATAGTGACGGAAAGAGTGATTTGTCCCATTGCCAATGTTCCTGGCAACCTACAAACTCCGGCGGAGCTATGAGGGTCACATAATACGATCAGTACAGAAGATCCTTGTTCTCGTCTGATATGACCAGAATGAACTGGAATAAACATAACAGCTGAAGATAGATAGTTGGACCAAACTATTCAAAGTAGCATAGCAAAGCTCACAGTATTGGTCTAATTGGGCACTAATTTGGTACTCTCATAAACTGATCATGATTAGTTTAAATTTTCTAGTTAATATCCCCAAACTGAACATGTTGTCACTCTTACTTCTCAAATACCATTCAGGTGGTAGTAAATCTTGATGTTTCTCAAAAAACCTTAAGATCGTATTCAGTGGGAAAATTTTCACTTAACAATTGACAGATTTTAAACTTCTATTTGGGCAGTGCCAATGAAAGGTATCTGTCGCTTTAAATAAAATGCAGTGTGTTTCAGTGGATTAGGCACTTGGTGTCAAGAGCCCCAGTTCTTGTCTCTGTCACCTTTTCTTATGTCACTAATAATGATGTAAGAGTCATAAGGTCTTTGCTAAAGCATTTCGAGCTGCTTGGAAAAAGGACGTAGGTGCAGCTGAGTTTTTGCCACCTTCTCGGTGTTGGGAGACTCTAAATGCATCTTTCGCTCAAGCTAAGGGCTATTGGCTTATGCGTTAAACTTGCTGTATGTATATTCCTCAATTCTCAAAATAAGACAGTTTTGAAATAGAAATATCATAGAACATTTAGGAAAAGTTTAGTATTGTGTAAATAATATTTTGTGTTTTTGTAAACTACTTTGAAATGATCCATCCAAAGAAAATAATTTACGTCGAGCTCCTTCCTACACCCTTCTCAGTACAAATCTTGTGTTAATAGTTCTTGAACTTTACTCTATTTTTTTTTAATGTCAGTAGGTAGATGTAGCTTACGTATGACATATAGCGATGTTTATTACGTTAACAATGTCCACAGACTTTCTGAGAATACAAAACATGTTTCTTCTCATAAGCAAAAGAGGCGTCTGACCAGAATAGCATATGGTGAAATTTTTGAATATGTATGATAAGCACCATTTCAAGTCAAAAATGGATATGGAAAGAGATTGTCAGTAACCTCTGCTAAGCCTCACTCCTTTTAAACAGCTTCAGAAATTTAATTCTCTAGCATAACAATGTTAGAATTAGAAGTTATGACTTCATGCACATGGCCATGATGGCAATGCAGTTCTTCAAATCATTTCTGGTCATTCAAGATCTTCAGCCTTTAGCCCAGAGAGAACATTCTGTCTGCTCATCAACATTTTTGACTTAGCTGAGTCTTTACAAGGTCATTGTTGAGCTCCATTATCTCTAATTGTACATAAAATACTCCTCTCTGGGTTTGTTTGTTTGTTTGTTTGCCATATTCAAAACGTATTTGTTTTTCCAGATGGAATGCAGAGTAATAAAGTGTGTTTTAACACAGAAGGATACAGTCCTGAGGCTACCTGGGTGGGTTGAGGCCTCCTAAATGTCCCTACATCTAACATTCTTCCCTCTCCCTGGCACCATGACTGACAGGAAGGTTATGTGCTAGGAAAGAAGTGTGGGCGATCTGTTCTGTCAAGACAATACTGCTGCTTCAACAACAGCT